CACCGATGAGAGAGGAACATTCATCAGTTGCCCCCTGCACACCCCCCACTGGGGATGTGCCCACAACCAGGGTACATGCCCTTGACCGGAATCGAACCTGGGACCTTTCAGTCCGCAGGCTGATGCTCTATCCACTGAGCCAAACTGGTTTCGGCTTCATGTGCTTTTCTTACAGAACCTAAAGAGGAGGCTGTGCTTTTGCAATGCCTACGCACCAGCCTCTCTCTTTCTCTGTACCGTCCACCTTTACTTGAAAGAATTTTCAGCTGGCTGATCTGCTTTCTTATTTGTGAAAAAGCAAAAGACGCTGGGAGTGACATGTTGGCTGTCTGCAGGCAAAGCCTCGCCTTCCAAACAGAAACCTCCTAGGAGGCCACAGCCCTCAGCTACAGCGTTTTCCACTTCTCTGTCTGTGTCCTGGCATTCCTCCCAGGCCCATCCTCATGCCAGCCTGAGTACTAATGAGGATCCTGGCATCCTGCTGACGACTTGTTTTGATGCTTTTTTTTTTTTTTTTTCCAACACGAAATTACAAAGAACCAGTCTTCTGGCGAAGAGAGAGATGACAGACAGATCCATTAATGGGTCTTCAGTGAAAGCACAAAACGAAAAGTGCCCGGTGTGTGGCCTCTGTGCCCGAGGTCTACACCGAGGGAAACCTGTCCCACTCCCAGACACGCTGAGGTGCCCCCTGCACCCTGTTTGAAGTCAGACATCTGGAATTACGTAGTCAGAGGCACTCAGAACAGACAGACCAGACCCCGTGATGTCACCCCGGGCAGCAGACACCTTGTAAGAGCAGGAACCTGAGCCGAGAGAGGCGCCCACGGGTATGTGTCCTCGGGGCCCTTCCTCTCGCCGAGTCTGGGTCTCTTTGTCCCCAAACGGATCGGAGCAGCACCCAGCGCTCCCGTGAGTGACCCAGGCCCGCCCAGACCTGAGCGGTGCAAGGCTGCCGGGAAGACCCTATCCCTGCAGGCACCGGACGGAGGAGGAGGAGGCCCATCTGAGGAACCTGCACATTCAACCCGACTCCCGTCCCCCACCCACCAGACAGGGCCTTTGGCATTCTCATCCAGAAAGGAATTTCCTTCTTAAAAGTACTTACCACGACATTCTTTCTTTTCCCCCCCAAGTAATCCTCTAAGGCCTTTAAATGTTAATTTGGTTTGCCCACAAATAAAAGTTTTATACTTTTCAAAACCACAGAGAACCCTTATACACTGATTTTTTTGGTACAGTTTTCACAAACAAGACAACAGCGACGGGCACCAGATTATCGGGGTGATCACGTCCCAAGTTATACAAAAGTCTACGCCAGGCTGCACCCCTAAAAACACTGCAATACTGTATGTCAACTGTAACTGGGCAACACAACAAAACTAGTTAATACCAAAAACAGCAAAGGAAACAAAACTCCAATTGCCCTTAACAAGTAGTAAAAGCACATGAAGCCAAAACATGTTGTACTGTACTTCTTCATATAACCTTTGATCTCCCCCAGACAGCCAGCCAGCACTGTGTGTGTGTGTGTTTTAATATGGTTTATTGATTTTTTTACAGAGAGGAAGGGAGAGGGAGAGAGAGTTAGAAACATCGATGAGAGGGAAACATCGACCAGCTGCCTCCTGCACACCCCCCACTGGGGATGTGCCCACAACCAAGGTGCATGCCCTTGTCAGGAATCGAACCTGGGACCCCTCAGTCCACAGGCCGACGCTCTACCACTGAGCCAAACTGGTTAGGGCATGACTGTTTGTGTGTTTCGTTTTTTGTTGTTGTTGTTGTTTTTGGTACCCATAATTAATAGTACAATATTGGAGCAAATCAATAAAATCTACTTTTTTAAAGTGATACGCATACGTATTTTAATACAGTACGTTAAGCCTGGTGTTTCAATGGCTCAGATACAACGACTGAGTGGAAACACAGAGGAAAGTGAAGAACTGCTGGTTAGTTCGGAGTTATTTTAAAGAACAAAAGAGAGAACACCTGCCTTGCTCAGAGAAACACGCTTCTGGCCAGACTCCAGGGCAGAATAAATGCCGAATCTAAGCCCAGGCAGGTAATACAACTTCCTGCGAACAAACTTCGAGGCCGATCTTTCATAAACAGACCTCAGGTGAGAAACTCGGCCGGTGTGCCGGGGACAGAGGCCGCCAGGCTCACAGGGGGAGGGGAAGGCCTAACGGGCCGTGGGTGTCCCGGGCCCTCCAGCTCCTTCCCACGGGGGAGGGGCGAACAAGGAGAGCGCCCTGCTCACAGCATTCCCTTCCAGGAACAAGGCCCTGGCCGATCTGCATCATCTACCAGGGGTCTTCAAACTACGGCCCGCGGGCCACATGCGGCCCGCAGAGGAGTCTGATCCGGCCCGCCAGGTTTTTTGGGCAGTGAGCGCAGCCGAGGTGTTACAGTAGGAGTTAGTAGTTCATATAGTCCGGCCCTCCAGCTCTCTGAGGGACCGTGATCTGGCCCCCACTTTAAAAAGTTTGAGGACGCCTGATTCTAAACGGAGAAGTCATCTCCGGGGGCGTTTCCACAGGCCTTGCTTTCCCTGTGCTGTAACTCAGGGCGGTCCTCTGTGTTCCGCCCCCCCGCCCCGCCCCCGCCCCGGGGCTCCCAGTGTGCTGAGCACCAGAGACCAGACAGGGACCCCAGCTCAGCCAGCTCCGGGCTTCTGGGGACCCCTCCACCCGCACAGCCGCAGTCACTCCCGGCCTGGCTCCCAGCGGAGGGCAGAGCCGTGCAAACCCCAGTTTCAAACCTGTGTGTATGAGTTTGTGTGTGTGTGTGTGTGTGTGTGTGTGTGTGTGAGAGAGAGAGAGAAAGAGAGAGCGCGTGTGCGAGGGTGAGGGTGTGTGTGTTGAGTGTGCGTGTGCGAGGGTGAGGGTGTGTGAGTGTGTGAGGGTTGAGGGTGTTGGAGTGCGTGCCGGTGTGAAAGTGTGTGTGAGCACCTGTGAGGGTGTGTGAGCGTGTGAGTGTGTGTGTGTGTGTGTGTGTGTGTGTGAGAGAGAGAGAGAGAGAGAGCGAGCATGTGCGAGGGTGAGGATGTGTGTGTTGAGTGTGTGTGCGTGTGTGTGTGTGTGTGCGTGTGTGAGGGTGAGGGTGTGTGAGGGCTGAGGGTGTTGGAGTGCGTGCCGGTGTGAAAGTGTGTGTGAGCGCCTGTGAGCGTGTGAGGGTGTGTGAGTGTGAGCGTGAGCACGTGTGAGGCTGAGCACTGAGTGAGTGTGAGAACAGCAGCAAAGCCAGAGAGGAGGGGCTGGTGCCAGCGCCTCAGCAGAGCGGCCAGGGTTTGTCTGTGACACACGCCAAGCCCAGCCCGGCCAGATGTCTGGCTGCTGCGGACAGGACGGCAGCGCCCGACAGCGAGGGCGTGAGCCAACCGGCAGGCGTCACGGTGTCAGGACGGCGCGGCCACCGCCATCCGCACAAGCAGCAGGACACCGCTCCGCCTGCAAACTCCGGGCCTGAAGCTCTGCTGTCCCTGGGACTCCGGCACTGCCAGTGGGTTATCCCCCCAACACACACTCTCCATCGGCCCAGGGGCTCCTCCCGCCTGCTCTGTGGGTGTCTGGGCACCTGTGTGGGGGGAAGGGGGTGGACAGAGCAGGCCGCACGGCTACCCTGCGCCTGGCAGCTCTCTGACCCCCCCTTCTCCCCCCTTCCTCCCTCCCACCCCGCCTCCCCCCGCCCTCCGGAGTCAGCCAGCGTCCCGCGGGCCCTGACAAAGCACACACATGCACACGCACACACACACATACACTCACAGGCATACCACATACACGCGCGCGCACACACAGGGATCACCTGTCACTACGCCCCCTCCCCACCCCGCCCCCCAGGGAAGCCCTTGTCAAACAGGAGAGGCGCTGACCGTCAGGAGAACCAGCCAACAGGAGGTGGATCGCTAGGAGGGCGGATGGAAAGTCGGAGAACCAGTTACAGCGCCGGGCGGCCGGCCCTGCCTGGGGGTGTAATGCGCAGCAGGGGGTGGGGGGTGACCAGAGGGCCACGTCTCTGGCCGGGGACTGTGGGCACGAGGCGGAGAACGGCCACCTCCGGGGGCAGCACCTCCCACCGCCCTGCACCACCTCCCTCCCCGGGGGCACCCTCCTCCGTGTGCCAGGCCTGACCCGTCCCCGCCCGGAACGCCAGGCCGCCTGGGGCCACCTGTCGCCTCCCGATCCTCAGCAGAACGCAGACCCCGAAGAGAAATCCAGATGGGATTCCGGGAGTGGGAGTGAGGGGCAAGCACGGTTTGAGGGCCACACGCCTCTGACAGGGATGTGGAGTAGAAACAGAGAGTTCTCGGTTGCCGTGGCTACGCCACAGAGGCTGGATGTTCACGGTGACATCGGAAGGCTACCCCCGACACAAGCATGCACACCTCCCCGGCCGCACAGGGCCTGCAGCCCGTCAGCAAGCACACCCATCAGGGGGTGGCCAAGGCTGACAGGATGGACTAATGTTCAGTGGTTAGAGACATGCAGAGCACAGTTTTATTTTAACGGATACGTCAAAGCGGTGTCTTAGCCACACCAGCCCCGCGGACACTGCAACGTCCTGACCTCACGGCTCTCACCCCACAGGCCCCAGGCCTGTCACAGAGTCACACACACACACACACACCCGACTGTCCTGCCTCTCAGCACAGAGGCCAAGCCCCTTCTGTGGGTCCCTGTCCGCTCTCCCTGGCCTGAAAGAACTGCAGCCGTGATCAGACAGCGGCCACCCTGAGCAGCTCTGCTCCCTCTCCCTGGGGAGTCACCGGGAAGATTGTGGTGACATTCACGAGAACCACTGACCTACGTAAGATCTGCGTTTCTTAAGATGCTCGCGGAAACAGCGACAAAATGCACGGTCAGTGTGCCAGCCCCGGCCCAGCAGACTCCGGAGAGAACACAGCCTTGTGACTGCCCCAGGGCCCGGCCGAAAGTCAGAACACGCAGGCGGCATGCAAGCAACTCAAGTTCTGGAACAATCTCAGGGCAAAGACTTACCACGCGGGGCTTCTGCTGGTCCAGGGTGTGCAGGAAGGCGGCGGCGCTGGGGTCCAGGCAGCGCTCGGGGTCGCTGGAGATGTCCTCCTCCGAGTCCTCGTAGGAGGAGGAGAAGCCGGCGGAGGAGGCGGAGGAGGAGGACAGCTTCCGCAGCGGCAGGATGCCCAGCGGGCCGCCCTGCGCCTCCTCCAGCGCGCCGTCCTCCTCCGGGGCGCCCATGTCGGTGATGATGACGGCGGGGATGCTGCCGGGGCTGCGGGCCCCCCGCGGCCAGGGCTGGTCCTCCTGCCCCGGGGAGGGCGGCTCCGGGCCGGGGCGGGCGGCTCTGTCCTTCGGGGGGCTCCCCCACGTCCCCTGGGCGGGCGCCCCCGGGCCGCACGTCCAGGCCGGGCGGGCTTCCTCCCCGGGGGCCAGCCAGGCCCGGGGGCTGCCGGGCTGCAGGCCCGCCCGGTCCGCGGGGAGGCCCCGGGCCTCTTGCAGGTCCTCTGCCGCGGCTTCTGCGGCTCTGCCGGCAGGAGCGCCCGCCTCCGCCTCCCCCGCGCCCAGGCGGCTGCCCCCGGGCAGGCCCAGCGGGGGGGACCCTCCATCCGCTTCGTCCGAGTTCAGCGGGGGCTCCCCACTCGGGGTCACCGCGGGACCCGCCGAGCTCAGGTCTCCTGCGCTTTGCGCGTCCACAGTCCTCTCCTCCACTGCCGGCCTGGCGCCCGCGTCGGGGTCCCCGGAGCCCGGCCGGCCGCCGGGCGGACTTCCTTCCCCCGCCGTCCCGGGGGGCCCCGTCCCGGGGGGCCCCGTCCCGGGGGGCCCCGTCCCGGGGGGCTCTCCGCCGGGGGGCGCGCCCCTCTCCGGGGCTGGGCTCGTCTCACTGTCCCCCGGAGCCGGCTCCTCACCCCCCTCCACCGGGGCGGCGGGGGGCGCGGGGGCTGCGCATCCCGGGGCCCCTCCGGCAGCGCCGCCGGGAGCGCAGGGCCCTGCGGGCGGTGTGGCCCAGTGGGCAGAGCCGTCGCTGCCACTTCCGTCGCCGTCACGGAGTCCACTCCGACCGAGTCCAGCGCGGGAGCCGGGCAGCTCCGAGTGTCCGGAGGGGGGACCCCCTTGTCCGTCTCCACAGCTGCGGGGGGTTCGCCATCGTGGGGGGGTCGGGCCGGGACCCCTTCCTCGTTTCTCACCGACGGGGCTGGGCCCGGAGCCCCTGAGACCGATGGTGGGGAGGCCGGGACCCCCTTCTCGTTTCTCACAGACGGGGCTGGGCCGGGAGCCCCTGAGTCCGATGGTGGGGAGGCCGGGACCCCCTTCTCGTTTCTCACAGACAAGGCTGGGCCCTGGGCCCCTGAGTCCGATGGTGGGGAGGCCGGGACCCCCTCCTCGTTTCTCACCGACGGGGCTGGGCCCTGGGCCCCTGAGTCCAACGGTGGGGAGGCCGGGACCCCCTTCTCGTTTCTCACCGACGGGGCTGGGCCCTGAGCTCCTGAGTCCGACGGTGGGGCGGCTGGGCCGGGAGGAGGCGCCGCGCCCTCGGGGTCCTCGGAGAGGCTCGGAGCTCGCCCCGCGGGGCCGGCCTCGGGGGTCTCCTCCGCGGCCTCCGAGCACCGCCCGCCCCAGGACCTGGTCCTCCGCTCCTCACCCGGCGCCGGCGGCCGCCCGGGGGGCTGGCTGAGGCTGCGGAGGGGGCGCGGGGAGGGCGAGCGCGCCCGGCCCAGGGCGGCGGAGCCGAGCGCCTGGATGTGCGCCTCGAACAGGCCCACCTTCTGGGTCACCTGCACGTTCTGCAGCTCCCGCCGCAGGGTGCGCAGCCTCCGCCGGGCCTCCTCCGGCGCCGGGGGGCTCCCCGTCCCCGGGGACCGCCGCGCCCAGCCCGGGCTCCCGCCGCCGCCGCCGCTGCTGCTGCAGTTCGCCCGGCGCCGGCCGCTCCGCCAGCCCCGGGGGCTGCCCGGCGCCGCCTCGGGCGGGGGGAAGAGGAACGCGGCGTCCCTCGCGGGGCTGAACACGCTGCCGGGGCTCAGGGGGGCGCTCCCCGGGGGCGTGTCGCTGCCGCCGGGCCGGGGGCCGCCGCTGCGCGCCTGGTCGGCGCTGCTCATGGTCGCCAGGCTGTGGGGGGCGCAGCAGCACACGGCCATAGTCCCGCGGCCCGCGCCCGCGGCTCCCGCCCCGGCCCCGCCGCCCGCGCCGCCGCCCGCGGCCCCCGGCTCAGCCCCGCAGGCCCGGCGGCCCGGCGCGCACTCGGAGCGGCATGGCCTGGGCGGCGCGCGGGGGGCGAGGCGGCGGCGGGCTCGGCCCCGGCCCCGAGCTCCATACACGGCAGCGCCTGCGGAGAGAGAGACACAGGAGGACAGTCAGGACCCGGCGGGGAGGAGGAGGGGACGGGGAGGGGGCGCCCCGGACCGCGGAACCCCGACCTGGCGGGGATCGGGTGCCCCTGGGCCGCTCACCGGGACCGCGCTGGGGCAGCCGGGGGCTGGGGTGGTGTCCGGGGCCTGCACGGTGGGTGGGGGTGCCTTTTTCGAGGGCGCTCCCACCTCCCCCTGGTTTGTGATTGCTCTGGGGGGGTCTCCAACCCCAAACCCTAAGCCTCGTCCCCGGCGCCCGCGGATGGGCAGGGGGAGGAGTGCAGCCAACGGGGTCCGAGGGCGCATCCACCCATCCACCCGCTCGGCGCCCGCTTCCGCCTGAGCGCACACAGGTTACCCGGGGCAGAACTGGGCCTCCCCGCCCCTGGACTCGGGCCCTCCCCGTCCACCCTCCCCGGGCCTCCGGGACCGACCCCGAGCGGCCCCGCGCCGGCCCTGCCTCCTCCCGCCGCCGCCGTCCGCGCTCCGGTCCGGAGGACCCCGCCAGCCGGCCGTTCCCCTTCCCGGCCGGGCCTGGGGGGTGGCCCACTAGTGTGTTCGGAGGGTGTGGGCGCGTCCGGGAGCGGAGACGGCTGGTCCCCGGGCCCGGAACCCGCGCTCGCCGCCCCCCGCGGAGGGGCCGCGGCGCCCGCGCCCCGGCGGGAGGACGCAGCTCCCGGAGGTCCCCGGGGCGTGCTTGGCTGCAGCCGGGAGGGACCCCAGACCTCCCGGGGCCCGAGGTCGAACCCCCTCCCTCCGGGCAGAGAAGCCAAGCGCACGGCTCCCCCGCCGCGGCCGCGGAGCCGCCGGGCGCCGGGGAGGAGGCGCGGGGCCCTCGGCCTGGCAGGCGAGCCGGGCAGCGCCGGCAGCTCCCCCCGCTCCCCCCGCACCCAGCGCCGCGCCGGCCGCCCCAATGCACCCCTTCCGGCCTCCCAGTCCCGCTCCGCGCTTCTCCAGCGCCCCCCGTCCCGCTCGCCTTCGCCCCGGGGCCGGCGGGAGGGGAAGGGGGCTCCGGAGCGGGAGCGATGGAAAAGCCGCCGAACTCACCTAAATCCTCAGGCTCCCGGGTCCTGTGCACAAGATGGCACGAAAGTTCAGCAGCTCAGACCGGACCTCCTCCCCGGGCTGCGCGGACAAAAGCGGGGCGGCCGGCGACCCCGGCCCTGCGCCCTTCCCGGCGGAGCAGAGAGCCCGCTGTCTGAGTCTGCTCCCGGCTCCCTCGGTGTTTGTTCAACGTGAGATTAAAAAAAAAGAAAGAAACTGGGGGGGGGGGGGGGGGGGGGGTGCGGCGGAGGAGGGCGGAGGGTGAGAGGCGGGGGTTGGGGGAGGAAAGCAGGAAGGAAGTTGTGAGCCTGTCTGGGGTTGAACTCAGCGGAACAAGTTTTTCTTTCTTTTTTTTTTTTTTCTATTGCTTGGCAAGACCGAGGGAGGGAAACACTTAAAAAAAAAAAAAAAAGTTTCCATTGTTAGCTAACAAGAAAAAAAAAAAGCCTTTTAACTTCTGCGGGTTAAAGATATACGATCCGTTTTCCACCGCTCGGTTAAAGCCTTGCTGGGGTCTAGCTTGATGAAACTCTTTTTTTTGAAAAACGTTTTTAATAAAGTTTTGAGTGTGCATTTTGAGCAAAGCAAATCGTGGGGGCCTTTTTTTTAAGCATTTAAAACGCGCTGAAATCCCGTGTAAACGGTTTGTGTGCTTGCACACAAACATGCAAATCAAAGAGGAGGCTGGGCCGGCTCCTCGCTGCAAAGTTGCACATTTTAGATGCATCGCACTAATGTTTTGGAAGGCTGGTCGGGCTGTGAGCTGTGGATGGTTTTGCAGTGCAGTTGCTGGCGGCATAAACAGGCTTTTACCTTGCAGGTTTATCTGTTACTAATGCACACAGCAACTGCCATCTTGGCCTATTTTTGCACTTACTTCTCAAAGTGATTTCTTTGAAAAAGATAGTTCTGGGACAAAGAAAGCCTGAGACTCTTTGCTCAGGATCCTGTAGCTCATTTTCAAGAACCCCGCTCCCCTCCCTCCCCAACCCCAATCAGCAAAAAAAAAAAAAAAGGGGGGGGGGGGAGGGAGTGGATAAAGGTGTGTCAGCCCATACTACTGGGGATCCCACCCCCTTTAAGCTCTGGTGTTTTGCATAATTCTTTTCAGTCCTAAACTGTAGCACTTAGTGAAAGGGGAAAACAGAGTTGCCAGGCTCAGGAGATTAAAAAATCTAAAGGCTGGATCCGGCTTGATACTCCCAGGAGCCAGGATGGAAATGGAAAACTTAACTTTGCTGGTAGCAGTCTGCTCTCCTGCTTGTGTATGCAACAACACTGTTGACGTGAGCAAAGCAACCTGCTGCTCAGCCAGGAAAAGGTTCGTTCCATCTGAAACCAAGAGGCCTCCCAGCTAAGAATTCCTGGGAGTCGACACAGTGCAGTCTTTTTAACTCTAACTCGGTGAAAGGATTGAGCTAATTCCTCTCTCGCCCCGCCAAGGGACTGGATAAAAAGGGCCCAGTGTACATTCAGGGGTTGGCTCAGGATCTGGGTAGCTGTTGAGCAGAAAAGCCGACCCTGTCCCTGTCCCTAAGTCAGTTCCCTGGTGGCAGGAAAGAGGAGCCGCCCTGCTCTGGGAACGCCCTGGAGTTTACCCCGGACTGTTCTAGAAGGTGCAAACGCCGTGTCAGGTGTCGTGGTTTAAGCGACCGGAGGGCCTATCGGTGCAGAGAGTGAACACAGAGACGTCCAGGCCCGGGAACTCCCAGTCACCCCCAGACCTCACCGGCCTGCCCCAGCACGGAGAACCCCGCTTCCTGTGTGTGCACTTGGCCTGCAGCACTCTGCTCCCAGCAGCCAGCAGCCCGTCCGGCGTCACATGCACACGGATTGCTGCTTCGGCTGAGCCGGAGGGAGAGCTGGATGGTGATTCCACCAGCTCTACCTGCGCCACCAAGAACAGCAGTGATGGACGAAGGATGGAGCAAAACCCCATTCTGGAAGCCAGCCTGGTCAGCTTGCTTCCTGAAGCAGAATCTACTTGTCTTTCATGAATTGTAAGTGAGCATAAGAAAGAAAATTATAAACACTTATCATTATCCAGGCACTGTTCTAAGCCTATTATAAATATTTATCCATGTCAATCCTCCAGCAGCCTGCTGAGACCGACACTGTTGTTACTTACCCCCGTTTTACAGCTGGGAAGGGAAAGCACAAAGCGCTGAGTAAACCCCCCCTCCCCCCCCCCCCCCCCCCCCCCAGGTGAGGGGTGAGGCTGGGATCTGAACCGGGGGAGTGGGAGGCCAGAATGGAAGCTGGCCACTGCGTCTCCACCTTCTGTTCCAGTCACTGCAGCTGTGGGGAGCGTCTGCCCCACTCCTCAGGGCTTTCACTTTCCCATGTTCAAAGTGGGGTTTTTAAAGCCATAGCTGTGAGCCGAAACCGGTTTGGCTCAGTGGGCAGAGCATCAGCCTGTGGACTGAAAGGTCCCAGGTTCGATTCCGGTCAAGGGCATGTACCTTGGTTGTGGGCACATCCCCAGTGGGGAGTGTGCAGGAGGCAGCTGATCGATGTTTCTCTCTTTCTATCCTTCTCTCTTCCTCTCCGTAAAAAAATATCATAAAATATATATTTTTTTAAAAATTAAAAAAATAATAAAACCATCGCTGTGAAGCGAAGGGCAGACAGAACTTGCTCAGCCCGACAGGACATCCATGAAGAAGCCGACAGCACACATATGACTGCACGGTAAAGAGCTGAGCACTGGCCCCTGGGAGGGGGAGCAAGGTAAGAGAGTCTGCTGCTGCCACTTCCGGTCAGCAGTGCCCTGGGCATCCCGGTCCGGGCAGCGCAACAGGAAACAGCAGCACCGGCCACTGGAATCTCCCGCCTCAGCTCCGAGCTCTTCATGGCCATCAGCATATCACAGCCTCCAAAGTGTTCTTTTTAAAAAAAAAATCCTCAGCCAAGTATATTTTCCCATTGATTTTTAGAGAGAGGGAGAAAGACAGAGAGAAATGTCTATATGAGAGAAACACATCGATTCATTGCCTCCTGCACGTGCTCCGACCAGGCCCGACCCAGGGAGAAGCCTGCAGCTGAAGTTCACACCCTTGACTGGAATCAAACTCGGGACCCTTCGGTCCGCAGGCCGACACTCTATTCGTTGAGCCAAATCAGCTACGGCCCCATCGTGTTCTTAATGAAGACTGTTAACTAGTGCCCTAAGCACTCCAGAAAAATAAACGTTTTTTTATAATAAAAGTAGGCTCCCACACCCTGGCATCTCACACCAAAAAAGATCCACGAATTCATGGATCTGAGACTCCGCCTCACACCCAGCAGGTCCTCATCGGAATAGTAGCTTCTAGAAGCTTTAGGGCACAAAGACCCCTTCTCCACCTGCGGTGCTGGCCTCCTGGGGGCGGGGCCTGGGGCCCTACTGAGCAGCCTGTGTTTGAAACTCCGGCATCTGAGGCCATCAGGATGGCTGTGCCCACATCCACAGAACCACACAGGGATGCCTGCTCCAGCCACCCGCCCCTCCAGGCGAACCTCCACCCAGTTCCCTTCAGAAATGCCGGGACTCGCCGAAACCGGTTTGGCTCAGTGGATGGAGCCTGCGGACTAGAAGGTTCCAGGTTCGATTCCAGTCAAGGGCACGTACCTTGGTTGAGGCAGCTGGTAGACGTTTCTCTCACATCGACATTTCTAGCTCTCTATTACTCTCCCTTCCTCTCTCTAAAAAATTAATAAAATGTATATATTAAGAAAGAAAGGAAGGAAGGAAGGAAGAAGAAAGAAAAGGAAGGAAGGAAGGAAGGAAGGAAGGAAGGAAGGAAGGAAGGAAGGAAGGAAGGAAGGAGAAAGAGAAAGGAAGGAAGGAAGGAAGGAAGGAAGGAAGAAGAAAGAAAAGAAAGAAGGGAAGGAAGGAAGGAAGGAAGGAAGGAAGGAAGGAAGGAAGGAAGGAAGGGAAATGCTGGGACTCAGAGGCCCACTCGGGCCCGCAGCTCACCAGACCAGGCAGACCAGGGCCCAGAGCTCACACAGGCTGCGGGAGGACCTGCATGGAAACGCGAGGAGCCTTGGTCACAGGAGCTGGGCAGAAAGGCCACTTGGTGAGCCTGGGTCAGGCAGCAGGTGAGCGCTGGGGAGGAGGAGCCGGTAACACACAGAGGAGGTCCGAGCGAGCAGAGGGTAGTGAGGACGGACCTGACCGAACAACAGAAAGCCACAGCGCCCGCCCGGTGCAGGCCGAGGAGAGAGAGAGGCAGGGCTCCCCGGCTGGCTGGTGGCTCCCAGAGCCCATTCCCGGAGGCGGCAGGCCCTGTGTCTGCCCTGGATCCTGTGAGCAACTGTGGCCTTTCCATGAACAACCCCACCGCCCCCGCCACACATTAATAAATATTCATGATTAGTCCCTAAGTCTTTTAAAAGCACGAGTTTCTAATATATGTTTTGTTGATTTCGGAGATGAAGGGAGAAGGAGAGAGAGAGAGAGAGAGAGAGAGAGAGAGAGAGAGAGAGAGAGAGAAACATCCATGATGAGAGAGAAGCATTGATCAGCTGCCTCCTACACGCCCCCTACTGGGGATTGACCCACAACCCAGGCATGTGCCCTTGACCAGAATGGAAATCCTGACCCTTCAGTCTGCAGGCTGACCCTCTACCCACGGAGCCACACCAGCTGGGGCTAAAATCACTTTTTTTTTTTTTAAGATAGCCTTATTTATTTTACACACACAGAGTCTGCTTCCCTCTGCCCCTGCTAATAAATAAGGGGCAGAATCCGGCAGAGCAAAACGCAAATAGCCAATGTGATGGTTCCAGATTGCGATGGAGAGGAAAAAGTCCACACCCCCCTCCCCTGTCCTAGCTAACACCTTCCCGGACACAGCCCACGGGGCTGGGGCTCCGGTTATGATAGATGTGAATGTGTCCATCCACACGGCTCCTGTTTTCCAAACACTCTCCTGCCGCACACGCGGCTGCAATCTGTGTTCACTTGTTTCTTTCTCGGTGAGGCACGCCTTCCCACCGCACCTGCTGGGCCTGCTGTGGAGAAGGCCCTTGACAGAGGTTTGTTGCATGATCAATGTCTCCAACCCAGGCAAGGGCAGCCAGCAGCATGTTCTCTCTCCTGAATCCAGAGGGTAAGGCTGGGGGGCAGAGGGGAGGAGGGAAACACGCTGATCTGATGGCAAATACTCCTGCAACAAAGCATGAGACACTCCAGGCATACAGGGTCCAGTTAC